AGGCCGGGTTCGGAGAGGGGCTCGGGGGGGGGGCTGAGCCCCGGGGAGCTCTCCCGGCCCACCCTGCCCGCGGAGCCGCCCCCCAGGCCCCCCCCGGTCTCGCCCGGGGCCGCCGAGAGAGACCGGGCCTTCATCTTCAACAGCCTCTCCACCGCCACCTGCGGGCCAGAATCCCACATCGTAAGAGGAGCCGGAAATGTTGTGTCTCCTTTCCAGCCTGGAATAAACCCTTTCTTGTTCCTTTGCAGCCCCCTACTTCAGTTAATAATAATAATCATAATAATCATAATAATCATAATCATAATAATAATAATATACACAAGACCTGCATCTCCCCTTTGACAATAACCTGACTTCTGCCCTAGCACACTGCAGAATGCTTCCAGGAGGTCCGTTGCTAAGATACACGCCCAGCAGGTTCCCGGGTTCAAACCCCGCGACTGTGCCACGGGAACCCCCGTCCTCCGCAGGGGGCTCCGGGCGAGCGCCCGCCCCTCGGCGAGAGGCACTTCCGTTGCCTTCACAGGGTCGCTGGCTCCGAGGGCGTCTCTCCGGGGGGGTGGGGGTCCTAGAACGTGGGAGGAGTCGCTTTGGACCCGCCGGCCCCTGTCCACCTACCAGGATGGCCCCGTAGACCTTGTGGCCGTCGGCCTTGACCTGGGCGTTGGACACGGAGTAGTCGTCCAGCACGGCCTGCAGGTTGGACCAGTAGGCGGGCAGGTGGGGATAGAGCACTCGCTCCACAGCCTGGGGGGGAGAGAGGGGGAGAGAGGGAACCGGAGATCAGCACCGCCGCCAAGATCACCACGACCTTCCTACCGCACACGCAGATCCCAGTATGCCAGGAGCCATATCACTGCAACTCCCCACCGGCAGCCCCACTGGAGCCCAGCAGTGTGAGCCTGGCCAGGACCTGGAGGGGAGACTCCTGGGAAAGCTGAGGCTGCTGCTGGTAGAGGTGTGAGTGGGGCCAGCAGGGGGCGCTCACCCTGCGGTCTGTGTGGGTCCT